TTAGTGGACAAATTCCGAAAGTTGGCGCCGGCGGCGGAACAACGCGGGGTTCCTTGCCCCGACTGGCTATGTTGGGAGATTGCCTTGGGGTCCGTTAGCAGCCTTGGATCCCGGCGGTCGGTGAGTGGAGGCGACATGGTCGGCATAACTCTAAGGTCTGGCGGGAGTTTGCTGGACTTGTTGCAACAGGTCCCGAATATTTGAAGCCGTGGGGACCGGAGGTGGGGGGTGCTGTGTTGTATTATTTGGCAAGGAACTTGCGAACGGGGGGGTGTCGTCTGCAGCAATGGATGGTGCAGTTGGCTGGGTTGGCTTCTTCTTTAAGCTTCGAAGGGTGTCGGGACATTCACAAAAGATTTTTGGGGGTACGACAGGCTCTTCGTGGTTACCCCGTAGGGCTTTATCGCCGTAGGGATTCCCGTCGTCCGGTGTCATTCAAGTTAGTTAGGAATTTTGTTTGAGCAATCCGCAGCTTTGTTTGTTCTTCGGAACTTTGAGGTGCTTATTTTCGAGCAGCCTTTGCGTGGCCCTTCTTTGGGGCGTTGCATATTAGGGGAGCTCGTTAGTCCGTCCAAATCCGTCCGTGGGGGGGGGTTGTTGGGGGATGATATCGTGAGCTCTAGTGAATGGGTGGAGGGGTGTCGTCCCGCCGGTCCAAAGACGGACCAATTGGGTTGTGGTGCACGGTAAACGGTTTTTTGCCCTTCGGCATCACTGGGTGTGCCGGTGCGGGCGTTTTGAGAGTTTTTGTCCCCGTCGTCCGGTGGGCGGGGGGCTTTTTTCATGCATGAAGATGGGTCCCCGCTAAACATCGTTTTCAATTTGTGTCAGTTTTTCGACAATGTTTTAACGGTTGTTGGTTTGGAATGCGTCTTTGTATGCTTTCACTCATTTCGGATAGGAGCTGCTACTGAGGCGCCCGTGGGGGTTTGTCGGATGAGGCGGTAAAAAACGTATTGGTAGATGGGATTCCTGGCGATTTTGTTTGTTACATTTCGTCCCGCATCTGTTGGGTGATTAAGGGCGGATCCTCGGTTTTTGTTTCTGGGCTGCTGGGGAGAGTTTGTCTTGTCTCTATGCTGTTTTGTTCTTGTGGTAGTTTTTATTCTTTTATTATCAGATGGTGCGGTGCGCCTGGTTTGGATCCTGGGGCACTCCTACGTTTTTTGGGGGGCCAAGCGGGGGATGTGAGGCCTAATGGACGGCAGCTGGGGTTGGCTAGGCAGGAGGCTTGCGTGCGATGGATAGGTGTTCCGGGGATGTTGTGGGGTCGTGTGGTACCTGACGTGCGGCATTTTGCTGGCCTGGATAGGCCGCCAGATGTTCTGGTGTTGCATGCAGGGGGTAACGATTTGGGAGTTCGGTCCATTGCGGGAGTTGGTGAGGGATGTAAAGATGGACTTTCTGATATTGCGGAGGGATTATCCGGAGATGGTATTGGTATGGTCGACATGGTAGCCCGCGCCTCTTGGGAGTGGCGCGGTCTGTAGAGCGGCTCAATAAAGCGCGGATAAAGGTCAACAAGGAGGTGGGGCGCTTATTCATTCGTAATGGGGGTTGGAGGTAGATACCTGGCGGTATCGGCAGAGTGATGGGGTACATCTCAATGCGGTTGGGACGGATTTGTGGTCTCTGGGTTTACAGGATGGTGTGCAGAGAGCAGTCCGTTGGTGGTGGGGCACGCATGGGTAAGGGCTTACCCAGCGTGTTGTGGCGGTTTGTTGGTCTTTGGAGGCGGGTATTATCTTGAAGGTACAGAGAATGGTGTGGGACCCATCGGTGGTATGGTGTGCCTGGGGACACTCCAGTTAACTAAGGTTTAACTGGAAGGTGGTGGTGCTGCACTGCGGACGGTATGGTTGCCTCCGAGCTGGTTGGTTGCGGCTGGAGGCCTGGTGTTATATGGGGTCCGCAGGTGCATTTCAGATTATTTTTGGATGGTGCCTTCAAAGACCAACAACATATCTGTATGTTTTCTGTTATAAGGAATGGTTTGGTGTTTAAAACGTGTTGGTTAATAAAAGGCCGAGTTGGCCATTTTACTCCAAAATCGGTGTCATGTTTTTCTTTAAGTGGGAGTTATAGGTAGGGGGATCTGGATGAACCGATCTCTGGTGCACTAGTCATGCAAATATCTGCACATTTGTATCTTCCATCTAGGATACTGGAATTTGTGTCTTCAACTCCTTTGGGGTCCTGAGGAAGCGAACAAGCGAAACGCGTCGACCTCTGGAGTACTTTGATGTCACGATATACTATGCTGTGATATATTGGGCTGAGTAGCCAAAATACTGATTTTATGGTAAATTTTAGAATATATGTTGCAATAAACATGTTTTATACAATAATATGATGTTTTCCACTTTCTGTACCAGTAAAGTCCCATTTGGTTTGTATGATTCTTTATATGATAAATGAGGGATGAGGTACGCATGCAGTCTGATTTACATAATTCGAACTATTCTATCATATGTATTAATTACATGGAAGTTGTTACATTTGCCTGGAGTAATGTCATTACCGTACTACTAAGAGTATTAATATTCCGCTCTGTAACACTTCCATGTTGCTGCAGATTGATGCATTTTGTATATTAATCTGTTTGTGGCGTGCTGCACCTTCCATGCAGATCTGTTTGTAGATGGTGACTAGGGCTGGGACTAGGGGTGGGCAGGAGGGGCAGCTGCCCTGGGCACAGCAGAGCAAGGGGGCAGTACATCCATTCTACAGCAAGCATTAGCATTTGGAGAGGTTTCATAGTTTCACATCATTTCCGAGGGTATTGGACGAACCTGTCCAGGTTCTGATTAAGACATTTCCATGTTGATCTGTTTGTAGGTCACTGAACTTTCCATGTTGTCTGTGGACTGAGACCACAGCTAGGTCAAGGAGTGGACAGGATGGGCAGCTGCCCCAGGAACAGTGTAGCTAGGGAGCAGAGAATGGCAGCAAGGCAGTATTTCCATTGTAGATGGGGTGGTCAACAGGGCTGTTGCTTACACTGGGAGAACTAGGTGGCTGCCTAGGGCACACCACCACCTAGGGGCGCCTGGGCGCAGCACAGGCTAGCACTCTCTTTGTGTAGGATGCTGCCACGTCATGAATGATCCTTCAGCTAAGAGGTGGGGTGGCAGAGAGGAAGGAAGAAAGGGCAGTGGAAGATGCCGGGTGTCTGTGGCTAGTGTAGCAACTGAGCTGCAGCTCCTTCCAGTGTTCCTCTCAGACTCAGTCCCTTATTGCAAGCTGGCTGGTGGCGGCTGATCACTGTGGAGTTCCAACCCTTCTCTTCCCATTCATCAGCGGAGGCGGAGCTGTGACTGCGGAGGAAGGTAATGTCTGACTCTGATGTCTCGTGTCTGTGTGAGTGTGACCCGGCCGGCCATCACATGTGCAATGTGTCAGTGAATGATGACATCATCACCATCCCCCACCCTGCTCTTCTAGTGCCTGCTGATCTGTGTCAGTGTTGGTGTGTTGTGTCGGATTTGTCACTGTGTGGGATCGCTCATTTTAGCTGCCTGCTGTCACAGCGCTTTACCTCCCCCCATTGCCGGGGAATTCCAGCCTGGGATCTGTCAGAGTATGGATCCATCCTCCTCCGCTCACTGCAACTGTCACCCTGCCACTGCAAGCCACAGATCAACTGTCACCCGGCCACTGCCAGCCACAGATACAGTCCGTCCGTGACACTGATTTTGTCTTTAATAATGGTGCTGGTGGCATCTCTTGGCACTTATTTTTGGAATTTTTTTTGGGGGGGCGCAAGTAGCTGGTCTTGCCTGGGGCGCAAAATAGTCTAGCACCGGCCCTGGTGGTCTGTAGGCTCTTTCCACTCTTCCTCTCTGTCCCCAACCCTGGTTCCATGACCTAGTCCATCACTTCGGCCGTCAGCACACCTCCTTCCCCTTTAGTCTCTCCCCCCACTCTCCTGGCCAATCTCCCAGGTTTGGATATTCACATGCCCCACCCACATGCTATTTTTCATGGTAAATGTAGTCCCTGTTCTCCCTGCTCACAGTCCTGATGATCAGCATACAAGTTCCAGAGGGCCGTTCTGTCCATGTGAGTGACCCTGAATGGCAGGCCACCACCATCCAATATCCATCTTAATGTATTGCAAGTAATAGCATTTCAATGGGTTACACTCTCTGTCTGTAGTATTGTAATGGTCACATTATTCTCTTTGTGGATTGCTGCACTTTCCATGTTGTCTGTAGATTGAAACCATGATCGGGGCAAGGGGTGGGCAGGAGGGGCAGCTGAGCAAAGGGGGAGAGAGATGGGTGCAAAGGCAGTCTATCCATTCTATGGCATGCACTAGCAGTAGGAGAGGTTCTGCAGTTACGTATTCTTGCCCTGGGTGTTATTATTATTATTATACAGTATTTATAAAGCGCCAATAGTTCGCTCAGCGCTGTACATTACAGAGGGGGACAGAACATGTGACAGAACAATACCAATACAATGCAAAACATGAGGGGATCGAGGGCCCTGCTCCTTGGAGCTTACAATCTAGGAGGGAGGGGATGGTGGCACAGGAGGAGATAGCTGTGGGGGATGGAGTGGCAGGAAGAGTGGAGGAGGTCGGCAAATTAGCAGGGGGTGGGGTAGGCTTCCCTGAAGAGATGGGTTTTCAGGGTGCGCCTAAAGGAGAGGAGAGTAGGTGATAATCTGATGGGTTGGGGAAGGGAGTTCCAGAGGATGGGTGACACCCTGGAGAAGTCCTGGAGGCGGGCATGGGAGGAGGAGACCAGGGAACTAGAGAGAAGGAGGTCTTGTGAGGAGCGGAGTGTGTGTGTTGGGTGGTACTTGGATATTAGGTCAGTGATGTAGTTCGGGGCAGTATGGTGGACGGCTTTGTACGTCAGTGTTAGGATTTTGAATTTGATCCGTTGCGCAATCGGAAGCCAGTGGAGGGATTGGCAGAGGGGGGTGGAGGACACTGAATGGAGGCCAGTGGAGGGATTGGCAGAGAGGGGTGGAAGACACTGAGTGGAGGCCAGTGGAGGGATTGGCAGAGAGGGGTGGAGGACACTGAATGGAGGTCAGTGGAGGGATTGGCAGAGAGGGGTGGAGGACACTGAGTGGAGGTCAGTGGAGGGATTGGCAGAGAGCGGTGGAGGACACTGAGTGGAGGTCAGTGGAGGGATTGGCAGAGGGGGGTGGAGGACACTGAGTGGAGGCCAGTGGAGGGATTGGCAGAGGGGGGTGGAGGACACTGAGTGGAGGCCAGTGGAGGGATTGGCAGAGGGGGGGTGGAGGACACTGAATGGAGGCCAGTTGAGGGATTGGCAGAGGGGGGTGGAGGACACTGAGTGGAGGCCAGTGGAGGGATTGGCAGAGGGGGGTGGAGGACACTGAGTGGAGGCCAGTGGAGGGATTGGCAGAGGGGGGTGGAGGACACTGAGTGGAGGCCAGTGGAGGGATTGGCAGAGGGGGGTGGAGGACACTGAGTGGAGGCCAGTGGAGGGATTGGCAGAGGGGGGTGGAGGACACTGAATGGAGGCCAGTTGAGGGATTGGCAGAGGGGGGTGGAGGACACTGAGTGGAGGCCAGTGGAGGGATTGGCAGAGGGGGGTGGAGGACACTGAGTGGAGGCCAGTGGAGGGATTGGCAGAGGGGGGTGGAGGACACTGAGTGGAGGCCAGTGGAGGGATTGGCAGAGGGGGGTGGAGGACACTGAATGGAGGCCAGTTGAGGGATTGGCAGAGGGGGGTGGAGGACACTGAGTGGAGGCCAGTGGAGGGATTGGCAGAGGGGGGTGGAGGACACTGAGTGGAGGCCAGTGGAGGGATTGGCAGAGGGGGGTGGCGGAAACGGAGCGGTTGGAAAGGTGAATGAGTCTGGCAGCCGTATTCAGGATCGACTGAAGCGGGGATAGCCAGCGGCGAAGCAGGCAGGGTGTTGAATGAACCTGTCCCAGTACTGACTTATACATGTCCATCTGTTTGTAGACTGTGGTACTTCCCATGTTGATCTGTTTGTAGGTTGTGACCAGGGCTGGGACAAAGGGTGGGCAAGAGGGGCAGCTTCCCCATACGCAGCAGAGCAAGGGGGCAGAGAATGGACATAGGGAGGTACATCCATTCTACAGCATGCTTTAGCAGTGGGGAAGGTTCCACAATTCCTCATCCTTGCCCTGGTGTTGGACAAACCCGTCCCGGTACTGATTGCTGCCTTTCCATGCTGATCTGTTTGTAGATTGAGACCACAGCCAGGACAAGGGGAGAGCAGGAGGGACGGCTGCCCCAGGAGCAGTGCAGCAAGGGGGCAGAGAATGGAAATAAGGAGGTGCTTCCATACTTCCATTGTATGGCATGCATTAGTGGTGGAGGAGGTTCTGCAGTTCTGAGTCCTTGCCCTGGGTGCTGGACAAACCTGTCCCGGTACTGATTGCAACATTTCCACGTTAATCTGTTTGTAGGTTGCTAAAATTTGCTGTTGCTCTGTTTCTGGATTATTGCAATTTCCATGTTGTTCTCTTTGTGGATTGCTGCACTTTCATCTGTTTGTAGATTGAGACCATGGCCAGGACAAAGGGTGGGCAGGAGGGCAGCTGCCCTGGGAGCAGCGGAGCAAAGAATGGAAACAAAGCAGTGCTTCCATGTATGGCATGCATTAGCAGTGGGGGAAGTTCTGCAGTTCCATATCCTTGCTCAGGGTGTTGGACAAACCTGTCCCAGTACTGACTGATACATGTCCATGTTGATCTGTTTGTAGAGTGCGACCAGAGATGGGACAAGGGTGGGCAGGAGGGGCAGCTTCCTTGTCCTGGGTGTTGAATGAACCTGTCCCGGTACGGATTAAGACATTTTCATGTTGATCTGCTTGTAGGTTACTAAAATTTCCTATTGCTCTGTTTCTGGATTAGTGCAATATCCACGTTGTCTGTTTGTAGATTGAGTACAAGGGGTGGGCAGGAGGGGCAGCTGCCCCGGGAGCAGTGGAGCAAGACAGCAGAGAATGGAAACAAGGCAGTATTTCCATTGGGTGGCATGCATTAGCCATGGAAGAGGTTCTGCAGTTCAGAATCCTTGCCCTGGGTGTTGAACAAGCCTGTCCTAGTACTGACTCATACATGTCCATGTTGATCTGCTTTTAGATTGCGACCAGAGCTGGGACAAGGGGTGAGCAAGAGGGGCAGCTTCCCCGGGGCACAGAGGAGCAAGGGGGAAGAGAATGGACACAAGGTGGTACATCTATTCTACAGCAAGCATTAGCAGTGGGGGAGGTTTTGCAGTTCGAAATCCTTGCCCTGGGTGTTGGACATACCCGTCCCGGTACTGATTGCTGCCTTTCCATGCTGATCTGTTTGTAGATTGAGACCACAGCCAGGACAAGGGGAGGGCAGGAGGGACGGCTGCCCCAGGAGCAGCACAGCAAGGGGGCAGAGAATGGAAACAAGGCAGTACTTCCAATGTATGGCATGCATTAGTGGTGGAGGAGGTTCTGCAGTTCTGAGTCCTTGCCCTGGGTGCTGGACAAACCTGTCCCGGTACTGATTGCAACATTTCCACGTTGATCTGTTTGTAGGTTGCTAAAATTCACTGTTGCTCTGTTTTTGGATTATTGCAATTTCCATGTTGTTCTCTTTGTGGATTGCTGCACTTTTTCCTCTTTCTGTGTCGTCTGTTTGTAGAATGAGACCATGGCCAGGACAAAGGGTGGGCAGGAGGGGCAGCTGCCCTGGGAGCAGTGGAGCAAGGGGGCAGAGAATGGACACAAGGTAGTATTTCCATTGTATGGCATGCATCAGTGGTGGGGGAGGTTCTGTAGTTCCGCATCCTTGCTCAGGGTGTGGGACGAACCTGTCCTGGTACTGACTGATACATGTCTGTGTTGATCTGTTTGTAGAGTGTGACCAGAGATGGGACAAGGGGGTGGGCAAGAGGGGCAGCTTCCCGGGAGCAGTGGAGCAAGGGGGCAGAGAATGGAAACAAGACAGCATTTCCATTGTATGGCATGCATTAGCGGTGGGGAGGTTCTGCAGTTCCGCATCCTTGCTCTGGGTGTTGAATGAACCTGTCCTGGTACTGATTAAGACATTTCCATGTTTATCTGTTTGTAGGTTGACAAAAATTTCCTGCTGCTCTATTTGTGGAATGCTGCACTCTTGATGTTGTCAGTTTGTAGATTGCTGCCATTCCATGCTGATCTGTTTGTAGATTGAGACCCTGGCCAGGACAAGGGGAGGGCAGGAGGGGCAGCTGCCCCGGGAGCAGTGGAGCAAGGGGGCAGAGAATGGAAACAAGGCAGCATTTCCATTGGGTGGCATGCCTTAGCGGTGAGGGAGGTTCTGCAGTTCTGCATCCTTGTCCTGGGTGTTGAATGAACCTGTCCCAGTACTGATTAAGACATTTTCATGTTGATCTGCTTGTAGGTTACTAAAATTTCCTATTGCTCTGTTTCTGGATTAATGCAATGTCCACGTTGTCTGTCTGTAGATAACATCATTTTTCATGTTGTCTGTTTTTTGTTAACGTCATTTTGAATGTTGTCGGTTTGTAGATTGCTGTATTTTCCATGCTGATCTGTTTGTAGATTGAGTCCAAGGGGAGGGCAGGAGGGGCAGCTGCCCCAGGAGCAGTTGAGCAAGGGGGCAGAGAATGGAAACAAGGCACTATTTCCATTGTATGGCATGCTTAGCGAGTGGGGAGATTCTGCAGTTCCACATCCTTGTCCTGGGTGTTGGACAAACCTGTCCCAGTACTGACTGATACGTGTCCATGTTGACCTCCATGTTGCCTGTTTGTAGATTGAGTCCAAGGGGTGGACAGGAGGGGAAGCTGCCCCAGGAGCAGTGGAGCAAGAGGGCAGAGAATGGAAACAAGGCACTATTTCCATTGTATGGCATGCATTAGCGGTGGGGGAGGTTCTGCAGTTCCACATCCTTGTCCTGGGTGTTGGACAAACCTGTCCCAGTACTGACTGATACATGTCCATGTTCACCTTCATGTTCCATTTTGTAGATTGAGTCCAAGGAGAGGGCAGGAGGGGAAGCTGCCCTGGGGAGCAGTTGAGCAAGAGGGCAGAGAATGGAAACAAGGCACTATTTCCATTGCATGGCATGCATTAGCGAGGGGGGGGAGGTTCTGCAGTTCCGCATGCTTGCTCAGGGTGTTGGAAAAACCTGTCCCGTTACTGACTGATACGTGTCCATGTTGACCTCCATGTTGCCTGTTTGTAGATTGAGTCCAAGGGGTGGGCAGGAGGGGAAGCTGCCCCTGGAGCAGTGGAGCAACAGGCAGAGAATGGAAACAAGGCACTATTTCCATTGCTTGGCATGCATTAGCGAGGGGGGGGGGGGGGTTCTGCAGTTCCAAGTCCTTGGCCTGGGTGTTCGACAAACCTGTCCCAGTACCGACTGATACGTGTCCATGTTGACCTCCATGTTGTCTGTAGATTGCTGCATTTGATCCTCAGTATATTAGAGTCATCCCACCACAAATACATAATCAGATGTAAAAAAAAAAAGTGAAACATTTCTAAGTGAAATAAAGTTGACTCCCTCCATGCGTTTTCCTTCCTCACAACGTCTCCTAGTAGGAGCTGCCAAGAGTCTTCTAAGCAGCTTTTGCCCCGAGTGGTTTTAGGGAAATGAAATCTCGGCACAGGTTAGCTTATTACAAGTGGAGCGCTGAAACGCCGCAGAGTTTACAAACACCATCACTCCAGAAGTAACATTTCCTTCTCTAATCGTTTCAGTTCTGGCGAGACTGACTAATGGTCCGCGTCCTGCGCACACCACCCTGGGCGACGACCTGGCTCCCAGCGACCGTGCGGCTTGGCGATAGCAGTGTAGCCAGGATGGGACATCGCCCGCCAGCTGCAGGCGTACGCCAGATCTGTAGGTGACAGCTTGTGGATGACTTCCAAGGATGCTGAAAATGAGATGCTCAGATCATACTAAGTATACAGGAGCTTTTATTTGAAAGCAAATCTTCAAATATCCTCCCGCTGGCCTTGGAATGATAGTGGAAAAAAAAAAAAGTATAAATATATACATACAGCATCTCCCAGAAGTGAGTCCCCCCTCAGATGTTTGTAAATATTTGATTCTCTCTTTTCATGTGACAACACTGAAGAAATGATACTTTGCTACAATGTGACGTAGTCAGTGTACAGTTTGTATAACATGGAAATTTGCTGTCCCCTCAGAATAACTCAACACACCGCCATTAATGTCTAAACCGCCGGCAACAAAAGTGAATACCAAATGTCCAAATTGGGCCCAAAGTGTCAATATTTTGTGTGGCCGCCATTATTTTCCAGCACTGCCTTAACCCTCTTGGGCATGGAGGTCACCAGAGCTTCACAGGTTGCCATTGGAGTCCTCTTCCACTCCTCCATGACGACATCCCGGAGCTGGTGGATGTTAGAGACCTTGCGCTCCTCCACCTTCCATTTGAGCAGGCCCCACAGATGCTCAATAGGGTTTAGGTCTGGAGACATGCTTGGACAGTCCATC